GTGAATAATATAGTCCTCGTGCTTATGTACCATCTCGCCGAACACCTTTCCAATTCTATGCAACAATTGATTGAGAGTTCATCATGTCAGAATATTCAAACGAAGGTAAGAGCATAATTTCTTCTCTGCAAATTAACACCTGAAGTCTAAAGCTACCAAACTGACTATTTGTTTTGTTCGCGAGTCTTCTCTTTTTAAATCACAACATTAATTCAGTAGCAATGTAAACAATTACAATACTGTGACGCGTATATAAAGACATAGAATAATTCAAAAACATGAAACTGACAGTAATGCAACTACATTCGTAAATAACTGGAGTACAAATTTTTATCAACGATTAATTTTACTATTGACGAGAAGATAACATAACTTCATTGGGAATTGCATACGTTCAGGTCAATGTTAAATGTGTGGCTATAAAAGTATCTAAAATAAAAGGAAAAAACTAGCGAATTATATTGAAAATATTATATAGAAAGGAGATAATATTACGATAAATGTACAAAGTACTCTTACGATAGAGGTAGAGAACGTAAGAGCAGGATGTAAAGGTTACGACAAACATTGACGCCACGTGATAAAATAGTTTCAATGCCACTAAACTTTTTTAATTGAACAGATAATGTTCAGATACGTGACTATAGTAGTAAAGATGACGTTCCATTAACATACCGATGCATTTGTATATTTAAAAATAGGGTTCTGGTGGTTCAAAGCAAAAAAGAAATGTAATTTCACCGAATTATAGTCAAAATAGTTGAGTGATTTCCTAAACAGAGACATTCAATTTCGATAGTTGCATACATTTAATGCAATATCTATTTTTTTTAAATACTATCTTATCTCGTACTTATGTACTAGTTGATTCCAGATTACTCGACGTAAATCAGAGTAAGAGTGAAGCATACTCGGATATACTGGGTTATACATAAACAGAAATGCGGTGGTGTGAATGTTTAACATGATTTACATTTTTACAATCATTTAGAGTAAACGAGACACAAATTAGAGTTTAAATAAAGGAAATAAAACGATGAGGAGAAGAAACAAAATGTAACAATATATAAAATATAATTCGGACAACTTATATATCGCAAGTTAATACAAGAATATGACATAATTAAGAATTGCATAAGGTTGGCTAGCGAATGTTTGAAGCACACTGCGGAATTTCTGAGTATATAAATATTATGATGAACTGAGTTAATGTAATTTCCGAGTCGATTTAGTAAATATTTGTACAGTTGTTCAATACAAATTGAAATGCAGTTTCTTAGGCAAGTTGAAAATGTAGTGAAGCATTTTTCTTTTATTGAATAGTGTTTGGAGATTTAGCTTTTTCCGCATATTTTAAAAACTAAAGTCAAAAACTGATTCCTTACGGAAATAAGGACATTGGGAATGTTAATCTTGAGAACATATTTCAAGATCGTCGAAATCGGTGCGGTGTACAGCCGTTTGTAAATAATTACAGTATTAAAAATATTTCTGCGTACATCCCAAAAATTGAAGCCGTGTGGTAGTTATATGCATAAGGAGAAGTTTTTCAAAATGACGTTTTTGACGACGTATTTCAAGGTCATTGCAAACAGTGTGGCAAATACTGAATAATACTGTTTCTAGTAAATTTATTATATTGTAAAATATGTATATTTACTTTTCCTCAAATATTAATTCTCACAAACTGTAGAACTTTGAGTACAATATATATAATCGATTATTATCACATATTGAAGTATTTGAATAGAATAAATTAGTATCACATATGCCCTATTCGTTCTATGCTCAATTAATTTTGCCGATGAGGTTACTGAGATTGAGATGGTGTACGCGTTTTTGAATAATTATCATGAATTTATTTTACAAGTAAGACATTAATCTTAGAACCTATATTGAATGGATCTTTTGCAAACTTCAATAATACTATAATCATTGAACTATTTTTGATAATTTTATGTAAAAAAGAAGCATAAATTATAATGTTCATAATTTTGATTGACTTATTTAATTTTTATATTCTGCTTATTATGGATAATCCAGTCAGCAGCGTAGGAGGTTTAAGACAGAATGCAAAGCATTCTGTTACCGTGCTAAAACAGAAGGAGATGGACTGCTGTACCGCATGGCTTGTTGGTTCCGCATGCAGAATTGGTGTTGCCGCTGTAACTATGTTTTCCATCGCAGTAATTGTAATACTGATTACAATTTATGTTAAAAATCAGCGTTAGATAAATAAGAAGTCTACACAATTAAATAATCAGTGAAGACACGAATTAACCAAAAACTTGGCGTAAAAATGTCATATTGCATGAAAACATTGATTAAAAAAATATCTTACTCAGAAACAATGCTTGATGATACAGATTATACTCATTTTAAGTAAAAGCTAAACAACTATGAAACAATTATCGTCCAACAAAATACTTCTTTCACAATAAAAAAGGTGCAAATAAAATGTTATCATGGACGCTGCTAATATGAGAAATTATTATTAGAACTTTGTTATGTAATTTATGTTTTTTACTAGCAGAGAACATAGTTTAATTTTATTTTTATCTTTGTACAATGAAGAGCAGATTGATTCGTGCATATTTCGATGCTACTAATACTGCTATTATAGTAATTTGTTTTAGAAAAGAAAATGATAAATAACCTTTTAATATGAAATAATAATATTTATTCTTAATTTCAATTTTTCACAAGATTTTGTAATAAGGAAAACATTTATAAAACAATTTTATATTGCTTAAGTTCTTTCTATTTTCGTAGTAAATAATACTGTCTACGAAACTAATACTTTGTTTAATATGTGTATATGAATAATAAATGTTTAATTCAACGACCTTTTAATTTGGAATCCTATATTTTTTAGCGGTATCTAAGACAAGGAAACAATAAATATTCTTTCGGATGAGAAATGCAATTGTATTGTATCTAAGACGTTATTTCTGAAACTGTACAGCAAATGATTTTCAGTTTTTAGAATTATCTGGATCCCTTATTTCCTAGCTTCACAAATTTGTAGATTCCGACATTGCTTTGTCTCCAAATCTCAAGCTTCTGTATTTCTATATCTTCAAACTCGTAGGTTCCCATATTTTTATATCCGTAATACCTCAAATTGTTATATTCTAGATTAAGGTGGTGTACTCGTTTTTAAATAATTACCATGAATTTATTAAAACATTAAAACATTAATCTTAGGGCCTATATTGAATATACATTGTTCAAAATTCTATAGTAGTATAATGATTATAAATTTTATGTGTTTATAAATTTTATTAATTCACTTCATTTTTATAATTTGTTTATCACAGGTTGTCCAGCCAGTTTAGAAGAAGGACCTTACGTTTGCAAGGAAGAAAACTGTAAAAGTTGTTGTTCCTCTTGGGCAGTTATTTTTGTCTTCATTGTACATATCTGTCCTCACAGATTTAATCGTAATTATTGACGTAATATATTACACGAAAGCTCGGATTGAAGAACTTTTTCATTCAGAAACTATGCTTGACGATACTGATTATATACATCTTTAAGTGAAAACTGAACAAATATATGAAACAAATATCATTAATACAAAGTACTTCTTTGACAATAAAAAAGTGCAAACAAAAGGACATCATTGACGTTCTTAATATGAGATACTTGTATCATAATTCTGTTGTATTTTAACAATTTACGTTTTTTGCTGACAGAGAACATAACCACGTTTTTCGTTAATTTTAATTGTCTTTTTGCACAACGAGCAACGGATTGATCCGTGAATATTTCTATGCAACGGATTACTACCACTATATGTACACTTTGTTTTCGTATGTATAATTTGAATGCATTTAGAATATAGAAATGTAGAAATTTTGAAATATTGCCACGTGAGAATGTAAAAATATAGAAATCAATTTTCGTAATAAAAAATTTGGAATTTTACGATTATTTCATTTACTTTCGCTTCTCTTCATAGTGATATCTTAACGGCAGTACCGATAACTGAAATATCGATAACACTCCAATACCGTTAACATCAATCGATAACTTCGTCAATAGCCGCATCTCTAGTGGTAACTATAGCCTCATTATGATCACACAGGCACACAATCTGTCCATATAATTATTATAAAATTAAATTAATTAAGATCATACTGCTATGTTTAAAATTTCTCAGATTGAAAAATAAAATTAATATTGCAGTCGGATTCGGGGTAATAAACGATTACGATTATATTTTATGAAAATTTATTATTTGAAACGTATAACAAAATTAAAAGCGCTGTACGATGTTCGCGATGCTCAGACTCTATCGATCGAAGATATCTATCGACCAAATATTTATTCAATTTAACAGGTCGAGTTCAAGGCCAAAACTATACTATTCTCGGGAAAATTTTATATAATTAAACAAACGTCTACAATATCTTATATTCGTATTCTCTCCTCCATGTAAATCACAATGATACGAGTACAAGAAAAAATTTAAACTGCGCATAAGTGTTGATTACACGTCGCAGGCTATATGATGACGTAAAATTGTTCGAATGCTCTAATCTTTAAAAGTGCGAATTTATCGCATAATATTTAATGTTTATCTCGCACGTATTTCGAATATATTTTGCATATTCTTGCAATAAACTTGCTGCAACTTATGAAACTTCATAATTAGTCTGTGCAGTTTAATAATTACAATGAAATCGCTGCTTTTAAATTACCTTATCTTTCTAAAATTATTGCATAACTGTACCTGGACACAGGTTACTAATGCAAACAAATTATGCTTCTGGTGTCAGACTGATGTTGGTTTGGTCCTTGGATGAAGTCGTTTAACTTTATTTATTCTGGAACAACGGTTCAGGATATAGAACATAGAAAATACACGATAATTAACGAAACAATTATCATCCATGACCCTTAAGAGATATAACTTGACCCGCGGACATTTTCCTCGGAATGAACAGTTGGTGGTAGGAGGATAAGTTTATTCGTTTATGTGACCTTTGCTTCTCTTTTCGCTAAACTTTGCCAGGTCGAGGTTAATTTGTACTTTTGCGTTTACCATTTAATATGCTTTCTCAGTCGACAGTGTGTCGTTGATCGTTCATCATGAAGGAACAGTGGAGCATCAGTAAAGGTGAGTGTTTTCCGTATATTAACTTCAATGTAAATTTTATAGTACGCGGTCAAGTGTAACGTTTTTCGTTGCGAACATAATTTCGAATTTTGTAATCGTTTTATTGATTATCAATTTAAACGATTCTGTGTGAAATTTTAATGAACTATTCTGTAATTCAATTGACTAATTAACTATTCTGTATGAAATAATTCTGTACGAAATTAAATATTTTTTGTACATTGTAGAGGAACTATAAAATTATGGAGTTAACAAATTTGACAGTTCAAATTATGTTGAACGTTTATAAAAAAATTATTATCAAAAATTACATGTTATCTGACATTCTCTTTGCGGACTTCAATATTTTATGATTACATAAATGAAAATTTACGTTGCCTTGTTATGGAACTATCAACTGCATATCTTCTGCAGATATGAATAAATTATCAGATAAATTCAAACATTCCATTTCTTATGAAGTTAATGATATTAAGAAATTAATATATTACTAAAACTTGTAATTATACTAATAAACATAATTAAACGTAATTATGTTAATAAACACAATGAAATGACAATGTGTGAAATAATATATAAAATACTTTTAACTTCACTATTTAAAAGATTTGTCCAATAAACTATATTATTTATTAATTTAATAATAATATTAAAAATGTTAAAAATTGATCACACCCTTAAACAATTAAATCAATTGGTGGAGATGTAGTTGCTAATTTATCATATAATAAAATAGTACTCACATATTTGTAGCTAATGTTAAACTGATTTTGTATTAAAAAGCCACGAGGCTACTAAAAAATTTAATATAAAATTTAATATGATAGTAATACTTAATAATGATAATTAGTTTAATAATCATAATTATAGAATTTAGTTTAATAATAATATTTAATAGTACCATACAATTTGATATATTTAACAGTATTAATTTGAATTAATAATAATAATTAATAATAAAGTTTATTTAATAATAGTACTTAATGATATCCAATTTAACAGTAATCTTTAGTACATTGAATAGTCTTGTTTAATGATAATATATAATAATTTAATAGTAAAACATATGCATTGTACGAAAGGGTCTTTGTTGTACAGCACAGCAAAATTTCATTTCATATGGTCTCACCTCAGTAAAATATTTCCACTCTTTAAAATTAATATTTAAATGCAAACTTAAATTTACAACTGAAGTACAATTTTGAAAACAGATTGAATATTGCATTAAAAGACTTCAATGAACTTTGAAATACTTAAGATTGTGTATACACATGTCATTTGAACTCTGATACACGCTTCTGATAAGTGAATCGACGATTTCGTTAAAATAAATATCTTCGTCATCCCACAGCTTCATAAACAAATACTGCGTAAAGTTTGATTCCTTGATGTTTGGAATAACTTTTAATATACGATTCTATAAATATTAATAATACGCAGAGAAGACGACAACATCAGCAATATCAGTTGGGACAGATTAATTTCACAAAATGCAGTAAACATTTTTCAATCAATACTAAATATTGAACACGTTTCATAGGGTCTGAATACAAAAGCTTCATTTTCTATTAACGATTTCAAATTTATTTACGATTTCTCTATTATCTGTCTATTGTGCGGTAGTAACTGAAATATAGGAATTTTTAGATTTGTGCAGTACAAGAAATGAAACGATTACGGCTTGCATGATAATAATTTACAGATTTAACCACGGTACAAAAAATTTTTAAATTTAAATTTATGAACCATTGAAAATAACAGTACTTTATGTTATAAATCACATTATTTTGATTTTATAACTTTCGAAGGATCATTCTGTTTTCGATTTGCTTCTAATTTCATATATATATCTTGTTAATTATAGTTCTTTTCAATACATAATTATTCTAATTATACATATACATATATATTTTATATTACACATATATATTATAAGGTGAAGTGGGGTAAGTTCGTGTTACGTGCGGGAAGCGCGCGTATAAAGCCTCGAAGATTTGTTTGCCCTAACAATATTAATTGTTAACGGGACTTAATGTTTTGTGGATCCGGAGATACGCTAGTCCCATACGGGCCCTTTCACAAGATCGCAATGATTATAGGATATGACGGAGGCAATAAAAGAAATGTAATTCAAAATAATTAAAAGATACAAAAGATTATATTTTATAAAATATGAAGAGATTTGTAAGACGAGGTAGAAAAATGCTTGACACGCTAGCTAAGTTCGATTTCAAAATACTATATATTTTAAATATATGCCGAATCCGTGGGCGAAATAGTGTCCTCGAGAGAAGGATGCCTTTCCAAGGTCTGTAGACGAACGCCTTTTCCAAAGGTCTCTAAACGAATGCCCTCTTCCCGTTCCGCGAGGTTTCCTAGTCCCCGCGAAACTTGAGGCCCTAGGGTTGTTTTATGGCCCGGACGTCAGGCCTCTACCCCGCGATGGTCGTCGTAGGACGGCCATGTGCCCGTCGTCCCTGCTTTGTTAGGGTGGGTCACTGGGATTTTCTAACAGATTAGAATGGTAGCGTATATAATATAATGTGAATCACAATGAACTGAACAAAAATATTGTAAATATCCGAGACGCGCAATTCGTAGATTCGAAGGAGAAACAATTACTCAAATACAAAATAATTTTATAATCCAGTGAGGGAAATCCCAAAGTTAAATAATTAACTACTGGATCTACTTGCCGAAAAATTCATAAAATAGCTGGAAGAATAAAGGAAAC